CCCCAAAACCCCAAAACCCCTCTATCAGTAAATATATGCTTTTTTAATAGAAAAAATCTTAAAATAAATTAGGCTACATATCATGAAAGAATTTATTTTCAGAACTTCATTAATTATTTGTTACCGATTATTATTTGATATTATTATGAAATTTTCAGGTTGATATAACTTAATCTTTTTAATCATTCTTCTTCTTTGCTGATATATTTCAAAAGCATGCTAGTTGAAGAGCAAGCAATTATAATCAATGCTCCTAAGATTTACTAGAATGAAAAAGTATATCTAAAAATAAGAATATCCGTCAGAAATGAAAATAGTATTAGAAAGAAATTCAAGGAAGTTATCCTACTTGCTTTATCGTATTTGAGTGCCAGGATAATAAGCTAGTTAGTCATATTGCCAAAAATACCTGTAATAATCAATAAATTGATTTAATATCCATCAAAATTGTATACCAGTTCTGGATGTTGCATCTTTCTGCCAAAATACCAAATAATTGTTGAAACTATAGAAAGGACTACTCCATATATTCCATTAGTGATAGTGAAATGAACACCCTTAAGTTTCCTCAATAGAACATATGATAAGCCTCCTAGAATAGATTGTGAAAGTGCTGTAATTAAGGATAATACATAGGTAAATTTATCTACTCCAATCGACAGTTTATCCTCATTTAAATCATTCTAAGTTTGCTGATAAAATACTATCAACAACATACCTCCAAAGCAGAGTATCATGTTTATTATCTCAGGCAGCCCTAATAATTCTCTTAGAATTAAATAGCCAAATATCAATGTGAAAAATGGCATTGTGAAAGAAATACTTGAATGGACTGCCATTGAAAGATACTATATTGAATACCAGTAAGAATACATAGCAATCATAGTAACTACTGTTCTTATTGCTATTAGCTATTTTTATTCTTTATCTAGTTAATTTTATTTAACTCTGAGCAACTTATATTAAAGTATCTAGAAAAATGCCTAAGAATATCCTCTTACCATAAGCAACTCATATGTAGTAAAAGCCGGGTTAACCTATTCCAGTTTTTTGAATACATACATAGTAATAATTACGCATATAATTGAACCTATTTACAATAACATTCCTATCATGGGCTTTATCTTTTATAGGCATGATTTATTTAAACTGCTATATATTTTCTGCAAGTTATTAATATTATGCTCATTAGTTTTTGATTTAATTTCTAAATCAATACTATTTTAGGGTACTATTTCATAGTTTTATTGGTTTTAATAGACTGCTGCATCATTTGCAGTCCCGCTCAAAGATAGATCCTTCAATTCTATATCTAAGTTTGTGTCCTATTTTACTATTTTCATTTAATTTTATTAAAAAATATTTATCTTGAAGAATAAAATAAAATATTATACGAATTATTGCTCACGGGGTTTTGGGGTTTTGGGG